TGTCTGCCAACGACATTGTCTATTTTCTGGTATGATGTAACAATATAATTATTCTGTATGTGTTATTATTATTTATAAGGGAACATGTAGTGCATTTAATTATTTACAAATAGATAAGTAACTTGAATATTTTTTTTTCAGTGCTGAAAACCAAAACAAGCTGATAAATAGCAGCATAATGTTTACAGTTAAAACTGTGCCATGAGGTTTCCTCATTTCCTTTGTTTATGCTGTCCATTAGATTTCCTCATTTGCCACTGTCTCCTGCCTGCTGTTTTTAACATCACATGATCCGAGGTAATCAGAAAGAACAATGTGACTGCTTTGTCACAGCAACAATATTATTTTCACTCCTGCAACTGGAGCTGCTTTGATTCCTGCTGAAAGGGGAACACATAAAGTTGTGTTTATCCTTTTGTCTCTTTCCTCTGCTGTACTCTAGTCTGCCTCCCACTTCATCTCATGTTCACTTTAAGGTGCCACCAACAGTTAAAAAAAAAAAAAAAGACCAAGCACAATTTTTAGTGGGAAGAAAAATTAGCATTCAGTGTCATTTTAAAAAGGGGGTGGGGTATTTGAAATAACTCTAATTTGGCATAAACAGACATAAGATTCATCATTGTCTTGGCATCATCCCTGCTGGTCAATAGCCAGTTTTACCCTGATGTGATAAATATGCCCTTCAGCGGACATTATGTGTCTCTGGTCATGTGTGGAGACCTCTCAATGTCGTCCTTTCTTTACACCCTATATTGTATTATGCAAAGGGGTTGTAAGAGGCCTGAGGAATAGATAACAAGCTTGGGGAAGATTACTTCTTCTAGGCTCTTAAAGGTTTTAAAGTCAATAATAGATCTATATAGAGCTTGATAGTTTTTATATGATTGAAGTGCTGACATTATCTTGGTCACACATTCCCCCCCTCAAACAAACAGACTTACAAATAGTCAATAGAAACATAGACTTGTTCAGCTATTAATGGTATGCTCATTTATTATTGTTGGAATTATTAGCCACGCTAGGCATGTGTCTCTGGGGATGGAAATGCTGGTTGATGGGTCAGTTGGTTTGTCTTTAGCTCAGAATGATGGATTTTGCCCAGTCTCTTGTACAGACTCTTGTATACTCTGACTCTGTTTTTTCCCTTACTCTCAGATCCTCCTATAACTTCTCAAATAGCTTTAACTTTGTATCATGTTTTTAGGTCTTGATTATGCAAGGGAAAACCATTTTAGCCAATATTTTGAACATTTCCAGCAATAAACCTGTGTTCTGATAATTCAACCAACCGATCTTCTCCTTTCCATGCTCCTCTACCAATATTAACGGATCAATTTAATGTTGTTGTGGATTGTGAAGACTGTGTTTTTTGTTTTGGAGCCCCCTACTGGTAGTCTGTATACAGCAGTGTTTATTAAATTGTTTATAGCCAATAATCTGGTAAGAGCAGTATAAACATTCACATGGACCACAAACTGTTTACCACATTTACTTACTGCATGTTAAATAGATTATTATCACATCACACAGCTATTCATATTAGTGTATATTAGTATATATACACTATCTCTCTCTCTCTCTCTCTCTCTCTCTCTCTCTCTCTCTCTCTCTCTCTCTCTCCTGTTTATATTTATGCATCTCATCTGTGTGTCCTGTTTGTCTTTCTCTCTTCCTAATCTCACCCAGAAACATACACTTGGCTAAGGTGATGAATGCATTTATGAACGACCTTCTCCTTTGGTTTTATGTTGCATTTGTCTTTGTTTTCACAAGTGTTTAGATTATTTAAAACTTGATCTTTTATTCTGCGTTGGCAGCCACGTTCAAAATAAATCTCAATTTCCTTTGTAACCTTTGGCGGCATTGCAAGAGCACTGGATGAAAGATTGGTATTATTTGTCTATAAATCAAAATGAAAATTGCCCCCTTCTACAAATGACTGCATATAAAGTTGACATCTTCACATTATAGCGGTTGATTTGGTGTCGTGAGCCACACAGTATTTTTTCCCTGGCAGTTTATTTGAAGGAAACGGGGCAGAGCTTAATGAAATACTTTTTTTGGTCTGCCTTTTGTTCATGGGAATGAGTAATTCATCAATGGCCGGTATTACAGAGCTCACATCAATAACTGAAGGATGTTGACCAAAGAGTTTTTTTATGCGGTCTGTTATTCATACAAGTCTTGTCTTTCAAATAGGTTCTGTCTTTCTTGCATTCTTTTGTGTCCCCCCTGCATCACTCAACCGCAATTATTTATTTTGTTTGACAGGAACGTAGCCAACTAAAGCACACAGCAGACAACTTAAAGATATGACGTGTTTCTTCTGGCATAAGGCATTACCTCAGAAGAAATTGTGTATGTGCTGGCTTGGGGAACCTGGAGACAGCTATTTTTTTATGTGTCATTGAAAGACAGTGGAAAGCCTTGCTAGAAGGCCAGCAGTCATTAGAATAATTTTACATGTTTCAGAAATCTTCTCTGTCTGGAAAGATGGAATATACAACCCTCTCTATCCCTTCTGTTTCTTCTGCGATCCACTTGAAATGTGTATCCAGAAGATACCAGAGTTGCCATGTTTTGTACCCTGGAAATAGCATTATTTTTTAGGTAATTTTACTAATGATATCCCAAAAGAATATGTGCTAGATTCTGTAGACACTGGATTATTAGGGCGAAAAAGGGATAGTAAAAATAATGCATATGTATTTCTCAAAAGTATAAAAATCAGAAAAAAAACAAATAAATATTTTATGAAGACAAAAACGTATGCACTTCAGCTGCCACATGTATGTATGTGTATGTGTTCCAGTTTGTCTCAGTGATAAGTAGTTCCCACGTGAACATAATCTCTATTCTAGTCCCATGCTTTCACTCTGATCCTGTAAATGGCTCCCTTGTAACACCATCGCAGTTAGCTGGAGCCACTGCTTCGTGGCTACCATGGTTACTATGATCAGTGTTACAGCCACATAATTACTCAGCACAATTACTCATGCCATAAGCAACTATCACAAGCCACAATGAATGACGAAGACCTTCCCGTGGCTCGATACATTCATGTGAATGTAACTCTTTCTTTTCTTGCATCCATCTGTCCACCTACCACACTGTTCATTTTCCCTTTGCACCATTAGTGAGGCTGAGATCATAGTGACAAGAGCATGTGGATCTCAGAGGCCCCATCAGTGGAGAAACGGGCTATGTGATAGTGTGGTTTTCTCACTGTCATCCCCAGGAGTCAGTTCTGTGAGAATTGAAGAAGAGGGATTGCGAAACTCCCAGTCACTGGATCCGTCTAGCCAGTCAGCTAGCTGCAAAGTCTAATAATTACAGTGACCTCACCCCTTACTCTTATTGTATTGCTTCTTGAGAACTCACAGCAGGCAGTTTGTGTGTATCTATGTTCGTGTCTGTTTGTGTGTGCTTTCCAGTGGGAGCACACGTCGAATACCTTTGGTATTAGTGTCGAAGGTTGTTTCAGTGTGTTGGAAGTGCATGCAATCCGCAATCTTGCCATATCATCTCATTGTCAGAAAATGAGAAAAAGAGCAAATCCAAGCTATGGAATTGATGTAAAGCAAGACAAGGCTGACCCTGGTGTCACCAACGCCGCATCTCTTGATAGCTTGTCCATTACGCCCCTCCTCACTCCCTCAGCTCTTCAATTACAGTCTAGTGGATAGACTAACCTTGCAGATGTGAAGGTAGTGTAGGCTAAAAATACAAGCTTTGATTATTGGTGCCTATTTTGGTTATCAGCCAGTGCTTGAAGCAAATTAAAGCAACTAGCTGCAAAATAGGATGGACCAGTTGCTGTTCATGCATGATGCAAACTTTTGGTGATGATTGGCCAAAGGTTGGACATTCATCATTTTTTCATTGACTCATGTCACTTTTAAATTATATCAGTGGCCTACATCATTCATGCAGCAGGGCATGTTTATTGTTTGTTTGTTTTTAGTTTTTTTTGTGAATATAATTGCCTTCACCCATCAGTTTGCTGGTCTTTTTGTGTTTAACCAACATGTTGAGTCAAGGTTGGAAAGTTGGTCTTTCATTCATAGGGGTGTGGACTTGAGGCACATGCCTTGGACTCAACAATGTTAGCTTTAAACATAAGGATTAACAAAAGAGTTTATTAGACTTTGGCAGTGGTCTCCGCTCTCTTGTTTTTGTCATGTTTCTATCTTTTGTCAAAATGTTCAGTGTTGTGCCTCAAAGGCCAAGGGCTTTGGTTGTAAAAGAATATCAAAAGTATTTTAAATTAAAAATAAATTTCTTGTTAGACAAAAACAGAAAGTTTTTCAATGAAGTACTCTGTATGCTAAATGCAGTAAATTTTGCAGTGAATTGACAAAGCTTGTGAAATTAAATAAAATAAATGGCTGCAATTCAGACACTCATAATATGAAGGCTTATCCTGAAGGAGGTCAAGAAACATATCTTAGTGACTGACTTTATGCATATACCTTTAAATGTTAATGTTTGTTTTTTCTTCTTCTCTGGGACCATATTTTTAGGGGAAAGAATACATACATGTATGTGTGTGCGCAAGGTTGTGTGTGTTTCGGTGTATGTGTCAATAAGACTAAACCCTTAACAAGCTAAACATGGTACTGCATCCATGCTCCTGTCCCATCTGATCCCCTAAGACGCTGCTTGCCGTTTGAAGTCTCCACTTGAAAGGGCTGATCTGAATACTGTGGATTTCACAGCAACTCTGCAAACAGTGATTACAGACTGATTAATGAGCCACACAAACACACTGTACACACATTTACACATGCCTCCTTTCTAGGCCACACACAAATGGATTATGCAGGAGTCAGTATGTCATAACACACAGTCTAACTCAGTCATATTTTTATCTAAACTTCAACAAAGTTTACAGGGATGTGAATTGTTTTCATTGCTGGAATCCTGTCAGTGAGGTGAGCCCAGAATGAGTGTTTGCTAATCAATTAATCTTTTTATCTTTTTGTCATTTTATTCTACAGTGTCCGCTGAGATCTTAAAAAGCAGTTTGACCACCATGGAACGTCACATTCAGAGGCTCGAAAACGACATTGAGAACTTCCCCAAAACAGACGACCAACAAGATAAGTTTGTGGAAAAGATGTCGATATCCTTTTTATTGTGGTCATTTTCACACCTTGCTTAATGTTATACATAGATTTTCTCCTCAAAAAAGATATTCTAGCAGATTAGAACATTGTATGTACCATTTTGTCAATAGCACTGTGTGCTGTTTGTGTTCTGCCTGGCAGTGGTGAGCAGTTTAAGTCACTTGGTGTGATGGGTGGCACCCTAGGGAACTTAGGGAATGGATCTGGCTGCCTTGCTGCGAGATGTTGATCAGATCTCCCTCTTCACTCCTCCCTCGGTCCCGAGAGTGAAATCACGCCTGTGGCTATTTTTACTGCGCTCTGCCACCGCTGTCTGTCCCCTGGGGGACTCTAATAGGGGCTCTAGCCCCTCACACCAACTTATCGCCTATCCCTGATTTCATCTCCTGACCGGCCACAAGCCTCTACACACAACCGTCCGTGCACTATCTTCTCTCATGGCACCTCTCCTGTTTCGATAACAGAGTGTTTCACTTAAACCCAAGCATCTCTGCTCCCAAATTGAATTAGCCATGTCTCTGCACTTTCTTGAATGCCCTTTCTGAGAGGAAAGGTCCTCACTGTATAGGTTTGATCAATGGTGGAAATCACTCAATAGCTTGAGGCTAGGATGCCTTTCGTGGGCAAAAAAACAAAACAGTAAAGCAGTCAGCAGTGTCTTCTTTGTTTTCCCTCGCATTATTTTGAAGATAAAGAATTACTCAAGAGTAATTGAACAAGTGAGTAGGTGTTTCCATATGCTAAGCGCTCTCATGTAAGACAGCATTTAACCTGATTTTTGCTTCCTTTTGTCTGAGATATATTAAGGCTGACTTTGCACATTGGGTGGTATAAGAGTAACAGCCTCCTAACACATTAACAATCTGCTCCCAGTCAAAGACGGGCACTTGAATTTGTATAATTAAAAAAACTGAAGCAGAGACCTCCCTGGCGGCAGCGGCTCGGGGGCAGAGCAGGCAGGCAAGAAAGCTACTCTGCCCCCCGATGTCACTATTGATTCCCAGCCTCCTTCGGGAACGAGAGGCTTGAGTGAGAGGAAATGGAGAAGTGTAGATATACTGCAGCATGGCTCTCCCTCACTGTCTGGAGTTCCTCCCCAGAGTGTGGTAGAGAGAAGCTGGCTGGCCATGACCTGAAACGCCCCACTTCCTCCTCTCTCAACCTTCTCTCCATCCCACCTGATCGAGTTTTGGTGCCAGGAAGGAGGCTTAGTAGGATTTAACAAGATCTATTTTTGTTCTTGCCTGATTTAATTCACCAGTTTGGAAAGCACTCACAAGCACATGTACTGTATTTAATTCTTCATCTGTGTTGCATTCCACTTTGAAAGTTTTTCGTACTGGTAAATTAAATAGTATTTCCCCTTCCCTTGATTGAACAAGAAGCAGAATTGCTATAGAATAGTATATGATATGAAGAAGAGATATCGAGGCACAAGAAAGGAATGAGTCAAATGATGAAAAATGCACGCTCGCTTGTTCTCATCAGTTAGCTCCCTGGAGTGTTTGATCTCCATTTCATCTCCTTTGTATAATAAAGTGATATAATTGATAACAATGTCCTCATAATAAGAAGATGTCAGCAAAATGTCACTTCCCATGTGGTATTGCATTTTGTATTTGGTGTTGATTATTTTGTCCCATGTAGAAAACACAGTTGTTTCCTCTTTCCAAGTTGTTTCTGTCTGGATGTTGATAGTACACGATAATAGGACACTAGAAGTGTGCAGTCACATTTTACTCCATGGTTTTGCAGTAGCTGTTGGTGTGTTTATTATAAACATTTGTGTGTGTGTGTGTGTGTGTGTGTGTGTGTGTGTGTGTGTGTGTCTACATGTGCGTCTCAATTTAGCCCACTTCTCTGGAGTCTGTCACCCAGGACAATATTTTCCACCACTTCTCCTCCTAAGATATTAGATGTTGGGCTGTTTTTGTGCAAGTGATAGAAAGCGCAGGCTGTGCTTGATTTGCTGAGGTTTTTAGTAGCTTAGGAAACACTCTAATCTGTGTTGCACAGCTAAGTGTTGGAACAATGACAGTGTGAAATACAGTGCTATATTCTGGGTTGACATTTCCTTTGGTACACATAAGATAGCAGAGTCAAGGCAAACATACCTTTTTAAACTTTTCCCTAGGATTAAAAAAAAAAAAAAAAAGGATGTTGGTTCCTTGAAGCATGACAGATGGAAGAACAACAACAGCTAAAAGTCATGCATTTGATGCTCGAGCAACCCTGAAAAAGTTAAGTGAAGCTCTGCTGTCTTGACTGTTGGGCACTGTGATGAATGAGTCAGTCTGCGTTTGTTGTGTGTGTGTGTGTGTGTGTGTGTGTGTGTGCATGTGTGTATGTGTGTTACAAGAGAGAAAGAGAGAGGGAGAGAGAATAATTTGCAGAGCATGTGGAGGTGAGTACATGTGCCTCTGTTTCACTGTGACTCTTGTCAGCTTTTTTTCCTGAGATTAATTTCAGGAGGCCGTAGTCACTACGAGGTATTTTAGATGTAATATTTGCCCCAAGCAGCAGTTTTAATTAAACATTCAACAATGAATTATGTTTTGTTTTGTTTTGTCTCGCCATGCAAGATTAGTGATCCTAAGATGTTTAGGCTTCAGAAATTTCAGGTTTTGTCCCATTAGAAAGGGTGATACATGTAATCTGATGGGACAACCTCAGAACAATCTGTAAAAGAAATTTACATCAACAGATCAGTAACAGTTATGAAATACAGAAAGAAAGAAAGTATGGAAAGAGAGAAAGAAAGATAGAGAAAGAGAGAAAGTAGAGCTTAGTGGAAGCACTTCATTTGGCTTTATTGATACATTTTTCTCTCTCCATTACTGTAATGTATGCAAATGACCGAATGGGGTGTTTGTTCAGCAGTTTAGTGATCTCTATCTGTCAGAAGTAATGGGGGCCCACAAAGGCTGTAGAGTTGAGGCACAAGCCCCCAGAGAGCCTTATTTCACCAGAGAGGCTATGGCTATCACATACACACTCACACACACACACACTCTTCAGTTCTGATATGATAGAGTAGTGCTGGGGGCTTAGAGCGGGACTCTGCATTCTGGAATATTAATGGTGGTGAGGTGGCTCGATGGGGGATGATGAGAGACCTGACTGAACCTTGATGGGTGCCTGGACATCTCCAATACACCCCCCGCCCGCGCGCGCGCGCCGCTGTACTTAGTGCCTTAACCCAGCCCACTGATATTTAGCTTAACCTTTTATTTCCCAGAAGGCCGGAGTCAGTGCACATCATTCTCTCCCATCTTCGCACATTGAGTGACAAGGATCTGTCTTCTGGGGCCAGTTTCATTAAGATATATTATACTGGGCTTACAAATTTATCCAGTCTTAATTTTTCTCACACAATTCTCTAATGCAAGAAGGACAGTTGAATGAATACTTAGCTTTTTACAATTTCTCTAAACATCTTACCAGTTTTAATAAATCATTTAAACTCCCGTTTTTCCTGTTTCCTGCTACTTCTTTATATATAGCTGCCATTATCTATCTATATATATTTTTTATTTTTTTTGTATTTCCTATGTGTATATGTGTTATTGTTAGACAGTCACTGAGTTTCCCCGGTAACATGTCCTTGTAGCTGTGGAATTCTTCCACAAGGCTGAGTGAATAAAGCTGAGTAGCTTGAAGCCATTCCTTGTGACCATGTTTTTAAGTTTGAAAATAAGCCTTAAATAAATAATACATTGTAAATTGTACTATTTTCTCTAGAATTCCTAGCAAATGTGCCCTTCTCAAAATACTCAAGGACTTGGCGTTATTGCCCAACTGATCAGCTTAGATATCTATCCGAAGTCTATTTGTTACATCTAAGCCACAGTCTGTCTTTGACAAACCAACTCTGATCTTGTATTGATCTTAATTACTTGTGATAATTCAGATTTCTAATATGTCTATCATACTGTTGCCCGACTTGACAATTTCCTGCCAACGCGAAGAAGCAGCTGCTTGAGCAGCGGATCTAGTAGTTATTGATACTTCTGATACCTGAATAGGAAGCCTCGAGTCCTGGGATCGTACAAAGCCCACACACCTAACAGTAACAGTTTCTCACACCAATTTAGTCCACCCACACAGGGTCAGCCCAGACACACTCTTTCCTGGCCCAGGGGCTAGCATTTAATACCACCTTTGTGGCTTTAAAATTGACAGATGCATTTTTACAGGTACCACCTTTTTTGTTTTTCTCAGATACTTCAGCCTGATTTAGTTTACACTTCAAAGGAAGAGGTTCACCACAATGTGTTTATGGATGGCCTTTGTCAAACTGCAACAGTTGGAGAGATTGTTGGCTTTAGGCTTGGTGTGTGTATAGGTGTACACAGCATTCCCTTGTATCGGGACCAGGCACTTAAGGTTAAATAAATGGTTGTTAGTGAAACAATTGTTCTATTTAGCAGGCTGCCGAGTTTAGACTGCAGAAATCCCCTGTTAACAGGCTTGTTTTGTCTGGAGAAGCACGGTGTTGTTTGGAGACGTTATCCCACTTTAGTACACCTTTATGTGTTTGAATGAGAAGTAAGTACGATTATTTACAGAATCATCATGTTTATTTCTGCATGTTTGTATATAAGAAAACTGGGTTAAAGGATGCTGGTGGCACTTTCAGCAGCTCCTTATAATTTTTAAAGCCGAAATACACAAACACCCAACCCCCTTGCCACACACACACACACACACACACACAAACACACACACACAGACATAAGCTCTCTCTTAATCACCACCTTCCTTTGAGTCCCCAACCCAACCCCCAACCAGAGTGTTTTCCTTTGCTAATGAAATTCACTGTAAACTGTGTGGCCAATTAACTGAAGCACAGACTAACCGTGGAGCCTTTTAATTATCCAAAATTCAGTGAAAACCAGTGTAAATGAGTAGAGGTCCTTAAACCAGTCTGTTTCTGTCTCCCTCACCTCAGTGTGAATGTCCAGACTTGAATAAAGCATCATAAAAGTGCAATAAC